CCAGGGACCCCCCCCCACCCAGAGGTCCCCCCTTTTTCCCCCGAAACCCTTTCCTAAAGTTGCGCAAAATTATTTTCCTTTCAAAAACCCCCATTCCCTTTGGGGTGCCAAAAGGACCCCCCCCCCGAAACCCAGGGTTTTTTCCGCCCCCTTGTCCCCCCCCCCCCCCCCCCCCTCTTCTCGCTCCCACGTGCGTTGCCTCTGTGCTTCACTGTCGTTTTCGTAACGTGGATGAATTAAAAAAAAGCGATGCTAGATAGCAAGACGTGGATCCCCTTCGTGTCGCGAAAGAGCGACCTGTGCGCGGTGGTGGCGGCTTCTGCCCCCGTAAGCTACGAGCACGCCATGAGCCACGAGCACCTCGAGCCGGGATCGTCGGGGGGGGGGCAGGAGGAGGACGATGGGGAGTGGCGGAGCTACAAGCGCTACTACAACGGTGAGAGAGAAGAGAGAGCGATCGCAGCGCTTGGTGTGTGTAGTACTGCTTGCTGTAGTAGGGAATGAAAGCTTTTTTAGTCCTACACGTTGCCGCTGGTGATTTAGATTAGTCGCGCATGAAAGGACTCTCGCCGGTTTTGAGCCCACACGTTGCTGCTGCTCATGATTTCCCTGGTGCTTTCCGTCTTCGATCCCCTTCTTTTGGTACTGCCGCCGCTGTTGTCTTTGCCGCCGCTGCTGCTGCTGCAGCTGCTGCTGTGATGGCCTCTGCTGTTGTGCGCCGCTGCCCCTTCGTGTGTGTGTACATAGTCATTCGAATGCGAAAAAACGTTGATTTGTTTCTCATTTTCTCTGCCCTTTCCTTGCCCCCCTGCTCTTCTTCGTTCCTGAAAAAAAATTTATCCGAATAGGGTACGGGCTGGAAGGGGGGCAGATGACAGGGTACTGGGAGTGGTACCTCCGGAGCGAGAAGGATGGATGGCACCCGCTGGCGTCGCCCATCAGGTGTTTTTCTTTTTTTTTGTAACGTTTCTTTTTTTTTTGTCGAGTGTGTGTGTGTGGGTGTGTGTGGGTTTGTTTTCCTACACGCACCGCCAGTGGTTATTGCGCTTGCGCGGATCTCGTTCAGGCCCTGGATGAATGGCCGCTGGAACAACCGCTGATTGGTTGAGATTTTGAGTCTTAGGATTGCTGGTCCGACCCACTCTCCTTCCAATGTCGCTTGTGCGACAACAGCAGGACACACACACGCCTTCGTACAGACTTATTCGGAACAAGAGGGCACACGGATTCAAAGGGTGTTTTTTGTGCTACCAATCCAGTTTGGTCGGAGGGTTTATCGTACAAGGATATACCGCAGTGTAATACTCATATCATACAACAGTGTGAGGTTGAAGTATGAATATATTTGTTCCGATGAAATACGCATGTATATTGGTTTCCTGGTCCCAAAAAAATCTTACTCTTCCCGCCTCCCGATTTGGTCCTTAAATCCAGTTTATGGCTGCGCTTCCAACATTTTAAATCCGTATCCGCGTGCCCTCCTGCTTCGAAATGTCGGGGGTGTCGTGCCTCCGTCTTGAGCGTGCTCAAGTCAAGTGTTTTCCTGCGTGGAAACTCCGCTGGGACCCCACAATACCGTTCCGTGGCGAAACTCTTGCCCTAACCCTTGGAAGCATGTACAGTATCCAGTACCCAGCCAGGCTTATCGTCGTGCGCCGAATTTTGTGGCAACCCAAGTCGTGGCGTGTTCGCCTTTAGTGTTGTTCTGATTATCTCTTGGAAATCCTACCCTCTTGTGCGTATGTAAATCCTTGTTCGGTTGTAGTCAACAAAGAATTGTTGTCGTTGTCGTTGTCGTTGTTGTTGTTGTTGCTGTTGTTGTTGTTGTTGTTGTTGTTGTTGTGTTGTTATTGTCTTAACGTAAAAATCGTTCCGGTCTCTGCTCGGTACCTTCCGGTCTCCGTCCCGGTCCAGCCGATGCCTTCTGTGGTCACAGGAGTATTTTGGCTAACGTGTGTCAGTTGTGTTTTCGCTCAATGAAATACACACTGCCGTGTAAACACCGGTTGGTCCACAGGGCAAAGAAGTGGTTGTTGAAAGGCCTCCCGCCGGTGCTGCTGATGCGAGCGGAGCACGAGGTGCTGTGGGACGAGATCTTGGAGATGGGGAGGAACATTGCGGGCGCCGGGCTTTAGGTGCGCTTGCTCTTGTTGTTGTTTCTTTGCCACACACTTGTGCGGCCTTAGGTGTAGGTTTGTGAACTGCCAAAGGGTTGGTTGGGTGGGGGAAAGGCCGGGATCGACCTTGAGCACACTTACGCGACCAGGCCGCCGTGTCAGGCCGAGATGCGGGATTTCTTGCCCACTTCGGGGG